GAATGAACAAAAGAGTTAAATTCCAAGTGGGAGTCCAGGTCAAGGTGAGGAGGGTGAAGCTGAACATAGAGAAGCGAAAACAGCACACGGTAGGATCCTGATTTAGTGATTGCTTGTTTGTCGGCAAGGTTTTACATCTACACACCTCATGTTCTCTTACCAATGTGGACGCTGGATCTTGTACTAACTTGTCATCTGTCATTGAATTCTCTACCAGCTGTGATGACTTACGTGGATACAAAGAGCGTTCGTTGATCCTTATCCCTTTAATATTACTAGGTTTAATATATCTATCTTATTTACAGACACATTTAAGTTTTGTTTCTGTACCTGAAACAGCTAGCTTGGCACATTTCAGATCCAAAATCAAATCAATGGCAGATACAAAATTCAACCTAACAGATAGCAGCAGAATCACCTCATGTTTTAAAAATATCTGTTCCATTGCCCTTTTAACAGCTAGGAGTCACTTTGGCATCATGATAATAAAACGAAGTTATTTGATATTAGGTAGAGAGAAACTTATACCTATAGTTTGCTGCAAAAGCCAGTCACTGAAAACAAAAATCAAACTGAACTGAAATTCCCCAGAGAATTGGCTCCCTAGAGAACAACGAAAATTCGAATCATCTCATAGAATGAAATGTGAAACATTAGGAAATAAGATTAGGAACATTAGGAAATGCACATTAGGAATAATATTAGGAAATAAGGATGAGAAAAGATGATGGATCTTCTCAGAGGAGCCTGGGGAATCCTGAACAATACCTACCCCTCCCACTTTTAAACCAACTCAAGATGACATCCCCAAAGTTTATAGGGTCCAAAAATTCATCAGCTACTGATTCTGAGAGATGCTGAAATTTTGCTGGGATATGTCTGATCTGGCTCAGAGTCCAGTGTCCTGTCTAGTTTCCTTCCCTCTTATGGACACAAATGATATTTCCCTGAGCAATCTGAGTTCTTAGGAGAAAAATTGTATTCATCATTTGAAGAATGAAGGGTAGGGATTTGGGCCGTGTATGACATACCATCAGTACTGAGACCAAATTCTGAGATCTTCTTTAGAGTGTCTAATGCTATAGGACTTCATCATTCTGGCTTTGCATAGAGTCTGCAAACTTTCTGCCCCGTGTTGTAAGGTGAACATTGTCCTTTCAGTCTTACTGTCTTGTTCTCCTCTGTGTGTGTGTGTGTGTGTGTGTGTGTGTGTGTGTGTGTGTGGTGTGTGTGTGTGTGTGTGTGTGTGTGTGTGTGTGTGTGTGTGTGTGTGTTGTGATTAATACTCTTAGGCCAGGTGGTTCTAGTTTTCAAACGTAATTCTTCAAGATCGCATACTCCTTGGTGGTCTTTGGCTTTTCTTTGTAAAGACAGACATAAAACATCCTCTGGTACTGTAGCTTCTCTTGAGGATAAAAATTGTGCCTTAGATCTTTCTGGTAATTTATACCTAAATAGGTCCTTCCGTGGCAGGAACTTCCTCGTGAAATGACCCAGCTGGAATTTCCACTAAAGCAAAGGTGAAGGGAGTGAGGATGTGTTTGCTTCTTTTCCCCCATTCCTCCTAACCTTCCCCCTTGCCATCACCTTCCTGGACTACTCCTTTCTCTCCCTTAGTCCCTAGTCTCAAATTTCACTTCATTCCAGTTGGTTGAAAAGATTACAGCATGGTGGTGACTTGGACGTCTACATTAATAGCATTTAACACCTCCTTGGCGTATATATGTAAAACCATTGAGCAGCTCTTTTTCTTTCTTCGACCCAATGCTGTATGTGGAGAAGGCATATTCCTGTTGCAAACACGACATCATAAAATTTTCATTGTTTGTGTTTGGCTGGAGGTAGTTATTTATGATACTCAAAAATGCTGCACACACTTGGACTATTTATTCTGGATCTGTTTCTGTGTCTGGTGCAGCTGAAGAATAAGCAATATGAGCCAAGTTAAAAATCGTGAAGCCAGCCACAAGTCATTGAAAAAAAAATACTATAATAAAAAACTTGGACAAAGGAATGTGACCATGGGGTGAGGTAAAATGAGAAGAATGCAGGCAAGGCCATCTTTAAACAACCCAGAAAAAAAGCTGTTTCTGAGGTGTTCCAGCACCAACTTAGAGATCAGCACTTTCAAATTAAAGATGAGAATTCACCCATGATTTCAAATGTAGTAGAATGCTTTTTGAAAAACACAGTAATTTCACTTCTATTTACAGACTCCAAAGAATTGAAACTACAATTTCCGAGGCATTTTTGTACATGAGTAGCACTACTCACAACAGATAAGTTGTGAGATAATCCCTTCCATCAACAGATGAATGGATTTAAAAAAAAAAAAAAAAAGGAAATCAGCCACACAGGCTGGTGGCTCACACATGCAATCCCAGCTACTCAGTGGACTGAGACATGAGGAGCAAAGTTCAAAGCCAGCCTAGGGAGGAATGTCCATGAGACTCTTCTCTCCAATAAACTACTGAGAAAAAGCTGGAAGTGGCCCTGTGGCCCAAGTGGTAGAGTGCTAGCCTTGAACAAAAGATAATGCCTAGGCCTTGAACCAGCACAAAAGAAAAAAATGAAGAAAAGAAAGGAAAGCCTTCCACAGGCTACAATGTGGTTTAACTTTGAAGACGTGACACTATGTGAAAGACAAATACCATATGATTCCACTTTATGAGGAATCAAATACATAGAAAAAAGATATCAGTGGTTCCCAGGAGGCAGGGAGAGACAATGAAAAGTTATAACATTGTTGGTTTTCATTGTTTAATATGAAAAGGGAGTAGTGGAATGCATATAGTTAACAATGTTGTATTCGATACATGAAATGCTAGAAGTAAATTTTTGTTATATGATTTTTAAGCCCATTAAAAGATTGCTTTTTTATTATCAACAATGGTAAGTCCAGAAAGTTTCTAAACAAAAATAGATATGGCTGTATTCCCCCATACTACCATAATATCTGTCTGTCTGTCTGTCTGTCTGTCTGTCTACTTACCAACCCACCTACCTATCATCTATATTGTGCTTGTCCTGGGGCTTGAACTTGGCCTGAGTAAAACTGTCCCTGAGCTTTTGTTTTTGCTCAAGGTAAACGTGAGCTACTGGCACCTGGCATCTATACTTCTTCCTTCCTTCCTTCCTCCCTCTCTCCCTCTCTCCCTCCCTCCCTCCTTCCCTCCCTCCCTCCCTTCCTTCCTTCCTTCCTTCTTTCCCTCCCTCCCTCCCTCCCTCCCTCCCTCCCTCCCTCCCTCCCTCCCTTCCTTCCTTCCTTCCTTCCTTCCTTCCTTCCTTCCTTCCTTCCTTCCTTCCTTCCTTCCTTCTTTCTTTCTTTCTTTCTTTCTTTCTTTCTTTCTTTCTTTCTTTCTTTCTTTCTTTCTTCCTTTCTTTCTTCTTATTTTTTTGATCATGGAACTTGATCTTGAGGCCTGGCCAATGTCCCTGAGCTCTTTTGCACAAAGCTAGAACTCTATCACTTTGAGCCACAGCTCCACTTCTGGTATTCTGGTAGCTATTTGGAGATAAGTCTCCTGGACTTTCCTGCCCAGGCTGGATTTAAACTCACTCCTCATATCTCAGCCTGCTGAATAGCTAGGATTAAAGGCATGAGCCACCAGCACCCCAGCTTGGCATTTATATCTTTTTGTTCAATCTTAGTCTTTCTATCTGTCAGCAAGTAGATCCACTTAGTACAGATAGTCTGGTAGTGTTAGAGGTGTCAAATACAACAGAGAAAAGACAATAAGAACAGTGTAAAATGAAATAGGCCAACATGTTGGAACTATGTATAATGGACTATACAAGGGTCTACTGAAATATCTTCATGTGACATAGAGGAACGTATGTAACAGCTTTCACAAACCAAATCCAGCTCATCTTTCTATGCCTTTTGAAGAAAGCACTTTAAACCACCAAGGCTTGCTTTTCCAATGCCTCCATCCCATTTACTTTTCTGCTGACCTTTTACTCCTCCTTTCTTCTCTGCAGTGTGTAGTGATATGGCTGTCTTAATGCCAGAGATTTTCTAATGCCATTCATAGCTCTAAAGAGTCCATTCACATCTCACTCATCAGGTGCATTTTCAAAGAACACATGATCACACCCAGCCAAACGGTGATTCTTGTCCAGCGTGGAAGATTTTTTAAAAAGATTTTATAGATATTACAATGAATTGGAAATTGTATTGAGTAATATTTGATTTCTTGTGTGAAAGCAAATTTAAAATTAATCTTCTTTTTTAGTGAGACAATAATGAAACAAACATTGAGAGTCATTGCCCTTGCTGAAAGGTAATGTTTTCTTCAGCCATAACTAAAAGTGAACTGGATTTGAGCCAAGAAAATGATCTGATTGCAATAATGTGCCAGTAGACATGTATACTGTGATTGTGTATGAAATGTAATGGATGCAAACGGATTCTGCTTTGCTTTTCCCATCTGTGTAAAAGCTTAGAGAAAACTTGTATCATCCATGCTGCATTTCTCTGAACTCTGGAAAGATTCAAATCAGCTGACTGAGACAGAGCTTCCTTTGGACTTTTACACTTGCAATGTCATTGTAACAGTTCAGGGAGGGTAGTGATTAGTGTTTATCCTTCATGCTGACAATGTTCCATTCTAGCTGTTGGTTTGACATGTTTACTGTTTTGAAGTGTGGGATCAATGGGCTAAGTCTCATTTGAATCTGGGCTAGTACTAGAGTTCAGAGCCTAGAGTACAATCATTCAAGGAAATACTTCCTACCCTTGATGTTTCTCTCCGTAGGCTCTCTCTAGTCTTGTTTCTGATTTTAACATAAGTCGAGTCCAGTTTTTAAGCTTTACTTTATTGAAGTTGATGTACACAGGTGACTTTCTCAACGTGATAGGATCACAGAATAATGGGAATATAGAATTTAACATGAATCTTTAACAGCTCTGCATTCACACTTGGGAATGCATTCTCTTTCTACTTGCCTTTGCTCGACGTTGACTTCCCCAGTCTAAGTTTTTCATTTCTGTATTGTAGATCACGACAGACCTAAGGCAACGATGCACAGACAACCACACCGGGACATCTGCCTCAGCACCTATGGCTGCTGGCATCATCGCGCTGGCCTTGGAAGCCAAGTAAGCCTTGATTTCTTTATATCTTCACGGGTGACAACTCCCGAACTCCTCCTTGCCCCTTTTCCTGTATATAGTTCCTAGCATAAAGGCCCCAGAAGCTAGACTTCCCAATGTCACCTCTAACGCATCAAACTGAGTACATGTCTGTAATCAGAACTTGGGATGTAAAGACAAGGGTATCTTGAGTTCTAGGACATCTTGAGCCACACATATCATGAGACTCTGTCTCAAAAGCACAAACAGATAAATTCTCTACATTAAAAAGATAAGCCTTTGGTTTTTATATACCTAAAAAAAATCAGGCTGTATAATTATCTTATTATGGAGTCATAGCGTGAACATGCCAGTTGGCTGCAACAGTCATGTCTTGAGATTTTTTTTATTCTAGTCTAGGAACGTTCCTGTGAGTCTCCAAAACATTAGGTCAGCCCATTTCTGGTCACTTTTTATATAGTATTGTGAGGCTGCTCAGATTCCATTACAACAGCACGGTCACAAAGCAACTCTAGAGGACAAAATATTGTCAAGGTCATGTGGCAGGCGTCTAGAAACAAGGGTAACTCACTTCTCTCCAAGCCTGTTTCTGTGTCCAAGAGATCTGTTCATCTTCCACTCCAGGTCTGTCTATAATGTCTGGTGATCTAGTTGTTGTAATGCCAAAGAGATTTACTCATGACATTCATTAATCCAAGGAGTCTACTAACTCACCTCCCAAGTCATATGTGCTCTCAAGAAACTCATGATCAGCCCCAGCTCAAGGGGAATTCTTGTCCAGAGGGGAATAGTTTTTTTTCTTCTTTCTTTTTGAAGATCTTACAGATAATATCATGGTAAGGCTTTTTTCATTTTCTCTCTTTCTAAAATAAATGGGCTCATTTGCCATTGCCATTTGAAAACGTAATACAGATCTAAATTCTCTTCTCCTCAATTTCAAAACTCAAAATACCCAGAAAATTATACACTGTTTTTCAAATGTAACATTGGATGGCAAATCTGTCTTGCACTAATTTGAGGCGATTTTCATCCTTTACTTACTCAATTTATTCTGAAAATTCCTATTTCCACTTCAGAAATCCTCATGTCTATAATTATGAGGTGCTGACTCAGACCCCACTGAAGGCCTGGTGTAATACATGTTATAAACATCATCTCTGAGAAGTATTTTGAGTTCCAAACACATCTGGCCCATGGTTTATAGAAGACGATTGGAAAGCCTGTTCTCTGAGGCTCTCTCTGCAAGATCATAGCAGGAAAAAAGGACTAGAGTAATGACCTCAACATTTTTCATAAAAAAAAAAAAAAATCCTACAGACCTCACTAGGAAGGTGTGGGAAAGTTCATTCATCTAATTGCACCATGAAATAGAGCAAGGAAGGAATATAGGGTAATGATTAAGCTAAGGTATTACAGGAAGAATCTTGTGTATTCATTCCCAGCATACAGTGGCTTCTCAACATGTATAGTTGCTTCTATAGATCTTGATAAAGAGCCTGCGTTCAGGCCTTGATACAATGTGGATATGGCACATTGCTAAGTCACCAAGGGTTTGAACTAGAACAAGGAACAGAACATAGGCTCCAGATGTTGTATCGTATCTTTGTGTGGCCTCCTGACGAAGCCTCATCATTGGGAGAGATCCAAGGCCCCATGCACATTTGGATTTCTTGCTCTTTGACAAGATTCAATATGCAATCATTTAAAACATACTATATCTGTTAAGGTGTTAAAAGTTTGGGTTTAGCAAGAATCTGGCACCCTATGAAATTCTCACTTTACAACTTTTCGCTGGAGTGTTCTGGCAGCTGAAATCTCAGTTTAAGTGTCTGTGTTTTTAATTTGGTGGACTCTAAATAGAATTTTTGGAAAAGCCTATTTTCTTTCTGACATTCTACGTGGTTGTTCTGGAATATTTTCCTTCCCATGAAATAAGAAGAAAGGAAAATAAGAATCAAGAATTCCTCCACCACCTTGTCTTCACCATAAAGACTGTGATCATTTAGCATTTCCTCCATTTTTATTAGCCTATATTAGTGTACACAAGGTTTTCTCTGTGACCATGCATGTACTATATCCTAACTGACACCTATTTTCAATAATAGTTCTTCTACACACTCTAGATGCTGAAATAAAAATCCTTCTATTAAGTTTCCAGAAAGTCATTCAATGGTGGAGCTGGGTAACCCATCGGAAGATTGTGACAATTTTCTTTTCTTTTGTGTGTTGAGCATTTTCAAAGAAAAGATTTATTTTGGCTCAAACTTTGATGGGTAGAAGTGAACTTGTATTCCCCAAATACGGGTTATGTTCCTGGAAAATCTACTATCTTTTAGCATTTTAGCAATGAAATTTAATCAGAGGTCTAAAATAGTCAACAATCCAATAGAATGCAGACAAATACTCCTGTCTTTGTAACACCACTGGTTTGACCTACAGGCCAATCTGCCTGCAAGTGAAGCTGAAAATTACAGGAAAAGGGTCTGTGTATTAAAGAAGTCGGTCAGGCATTGATATTAAACCAGCAGTCAAATAAGCTGTGGCTTGAGGGGAAATTATCTAAAACTAAAAAATTGTAGAGAGGACCTGAAATCACAGTGTACGAAGGTTGCAGTTTGCTAAGCCTGGCCTATTTACCCAATTCCACGCCTTGCAATCTTCACTTCTGTTTCTTCTCAATAATACTTGAACCTTGATATTTGGACATTTAGCCTTCACGGGACCAGAAGCTGAACACTCCGATCTATAAGGTACTCCTGTGGAAAGAGAGTGGAGAGAAAGCTTCAGCAGACAACATGAGGGTTGAGGACAAGCATGGCTGCCCGCATCAGGGTTTACTGAGTAACTACACAGACTGAGCCTCAGGTCAGACAACAGCACGCAGAACCAGCTAGTCCCTATTAAACTGCATGGTCCAGCTATTCCTGCACTGTGAGGAGAAATGTGTTTTTCTCTGAATGGACCAGGTTGTAGAACTCAGTTGTGCTGACATCAGGGAAACATACCAAATCCCTCCCCCACCTCAGCCTGCTTTCTTACACTCCCAAGTGCTGGCCTGCAGCAGACTTTTGCTGCGTCAATTGGAAAAGTTGTATTATGGATGCTGTTTTTACCAGTGTTCTCTCTGACATTCCTAATCCTGCTCAGGACACGAAGGGCAAAGCAAACAAATGCAAAACAGAGTCAGATAAGCTCAGAATGACCAGATTGAACAACTGATCATGTGACAGCTCACAGAACTTCTATGACATCCTTTTCCTGCTGGATCTATAAGAGCCAACACTGCAGCAACTGCCGCTGTAATATGCCCCCCAGGTTCTTTAGTGAAAGTATAGTCCCCCTTTGTATTCATGGGCCCTACAGTCTTCACTTTGACCAGCCACGGTTGAAAATATTGAGAGAGCAATTTCAAGTGTACCAAATATATACACACTTTCTTCTGTAGTTCTCTAAAAATGCAGAATAGCAGTACTGACAGACATACCATTTATATTAAGTATTGTAATACATCTAGAGGTGGCTTAAAGGATGCATAAGGTTTTGGTGGTGCTGGTGGTGCTGGTGGTGCTGGTGGTGGTGGTGTATGTGTGTGTAGAAGGAACTGGAACTAGTTACTTTTGCATAGCTGTGACCAAATACCTGAGAGATTCAACTTAAGGGAGAAAATATTTCTTTGGGCCCATAGTTTTAGAAAGTTTAGTCCATGGTCACTCAGAGTGTGTTGCTTGAGCGACAAATCACTAGGTCAGGATATTGTGGCAATGGAGAGCTGTTCACCTCATGACAGACAGGTAACAGAAAGCAGGACTAGAGGAAGGGGCCACAGCAAGACAGATGCAAAGACCTCCTCCCCAGGACTGTATTTCTCCAACTAGTCCCTTCCTTTACGATGTCTACTCTCTCACAGTAATGAGATCATAGTGTAAATCCATCAAGGGATTAAGCCATGGATGAGGTTACAATTGCTTCCCCCGAACTCATTTATCCGCTAGCAACCTAGCCCCAACACACGAGGCTACGTGGAATATTTTGTATGTCTTTATAGCATGGCATGTCTTGAGCATCCGTGAGCTTTGGCATTTGTACAGGGTCTTGGAACCTTCCTTCATAGATATGAAAGGATGACTATTTTTTTTTCCTTGTCCCCAAGATGGAAATGAGTCTCAGTTCCTTCCTATACCATTCAGCCCTTTATCTGCCACTTTTTGCACAGCAGCCGGGGCGGTGGGGGGGGGACGGGGAGGGGGGGGGGGTGGCTTAAGTTCTGTAGCTCACTAACAGGTTGATTATGTATCGTTTCTCTACTAAATTAATCCATTTTCCTCTGTTCCCTTATAATCATAAACAGTTTCAAAACAGTTTCAAGAAAGTAACTGTCATCTTAAAAGAGAGCTGGGATGAAACACATTTTCATTGGAGTAACCTCAGCATATATTAGTTGCTCTAGTGGTTTTTTTTTCCAAATTTTAATTTTAAGCAATTAAATTTAGGTTTATATAACTTCATGGTAGTTTAATTAAGTCAATAAGGAGCATGTACTGATGATTACAAGGGACGTGATTGCTGTGTTGGCCATAAGTGACTTCAAATGATGTCACTCTAAATAATGAAACTCACCCACTTCAAATAAAATGAGTGTACTAGGAAGCAAGTTTCTTACAGGAATAAGAAAGGAAAGACAACTATACTAATTTGGGGTAAACAGACCTGGAGTATACAAAGTCACATTGGTACAGTGTTTGTACTGACAGCCTAGTATTATACCCATAGTCCTCTAGATCTTTAGGAAAGAAGGTGAAGGCAGAAGGGGAGAAGACGCTCCGTAGCCTGTCAGCTTTCACATGAAATGGTTTGTAACGCTGAAGCAGCTGGCATTCGTAAAAGTAGAGGGTTTGGGTTTACAAATAATACACCGTTGGAAATCTTCCTGACCTGAATTTGCACATATTAGTAAAGAAAAGTCATGTTTTTTTCTTTTAAATGTTTTTCTCACATTTTTTTTTACC